GGAAAGGAAAGGAAAGGAAAGGAAAGGAAAGGAAAGGAAAGGAAAGGAAAGGAAAGGAAAGGAAAGGAAAGGAAAGGAAAGGAAAGGAAAGGAAAAAGGGAAAGGAAAAAGGGAAAGGAAAAAGGGAAAGGAAAAAGGGAAAGGAAAAAGTCTTTAGCTGAACAACTTTAGCTGAACAGCTTTGCCCAACTTTCTACCCAGATATTGTGAGCAGAGCTTCACATCAGTTGCCTGCAGTTTCTTTGGAGGTACTGATTAAGAGGTGTCACTTAAAACAAAAACATCTAATCAACTCTCACGCTTATCACGGATGAAGCATATCCCTGTGTAACAATGTGGGCTTCACTTTTGTGCAGGCTTACAATACCTTCAGAGCACTTGGCCTAAAGTCCCAACAATCCTGCCACCAGGCTGAGAAGTGAAAGGGCACCCAAATGTTTGGTTTGTGTTCTTATGAAGAAAATCTTTGGAAGAATTTTACAGGGAAGCTTTTATAGAAAATAAAAATATTTATTTCTTTCCTCTATGGAGGATTTCTGAATTCACACTGACATTTGACTGAGCAGTTACTTAGCATGCTGTACACTACATTTCACTTACAACAACAGTGGACACAGTAAAGTTCTCCTTTTCCTCAGATGACAATAGCRTATATTTTTCATAGGGAGTTACAATTTTTCAAGGTTTGGGGGGTTTTTTCTTCTTTTTTTAAAGGCTCAGATGAGGGAAAATATGCTTGAAAGTAAATACCTGTGGTGAGAGGGACACAGACTGGAGATACAAAACTTGTTTCTATGATACATTAAATRTCCTACCATGGTCAAACAGACACACACAATAACATTTATAGGCGCAAAGGATCCTCAACCATAGGTCTTCCACCACCTCTAGAAGTTGCTTCAGCAGCAGATTTTGTAATCAGTAACAGGCACCTGTAAGACACAAGAATAAGGAGCAAGTGTTAGCAGATAGACACTTCTCCCATCCACAACCTGTTGCTCAATAGAATTTGCAAGAATCTTTAACATCGAGGGTGACTGATTCATCGTCCAGTCCTGCACCATTCTGTGACCAGCAGATGAYTGATATCTGATTTATCTGCAATCTAGGTGTACAGGGGGCAGCAGAGCTATCCATGGAGACACCCAAATCCATAAAGGAGGGAGGAAGTGAAACAGCATCACACCTGTCAGCCCCCAGTCAGCAAGAGCACCCTCCAGCTGGTGCACAGAGTGGGCGTTTCTTCCCACCACACAGCACTACGGTTTATGCTCCTTGTGCTGCTAACAGCACGCTGGGGAAAGGTAAGACAGCAAACACGAATTTGTAATACACCACCCAGCTCATCAACAGGAGCAGTAAAACCTTTAAAACAGACATAACAGCAAAAGCAATTAAGGGAACTCCTTCAGTTCAGAGCTACCTGGGGCGAGCACACGAACTAGCATACAAGCTGCCTGGAGGCCCTGGAGAGCAGTTGCTGAATTAGTGAGGATTGGAACAACTAATTGGTGATTGTTTATCAAATAATACACWAGCAATTCCACTGTGCTCTAAGAGGGAAGCAAGAATAAAGCCATTTCAGGTGCCACCACTGTGAACTTAGCATTTTTCTAAGGTACGTAAGACATTCCTCAACTCTTTTAAGTGTCCATATGCAGACTAGACAGAGGCAGGCAGGAGGCACATTTATAAGTGCATTTATTTCAAGTGTTTCTGCTAGTTCAAAGGACTCAAACAAAAACAGTTGTCAAAAAAAAAAAAACATAGATGTGGTTTACAGAGGAGAAAGAGGACAATTTATCACTTTTGAGGTGGGAGGAAGGGATGGCAAATATGGTACTAATTAATATAAAGCCTTCTCCTTCCTTGCTGCCCCGCTGTCCCCAAAAACACAAAATGAAGAGTCTACTCTGTTATGCTCTCTCAATACGCTTGGCACGTACCTCCTTCTTTCTCCCCCTCACACTCCCTTTCTCTCCATAAAGGGGCATGAAATGAGAAATTTTAGCAAGGTTTCTTTACAGAAGAGAGGCTTGGCTTCAAGCCCAGTGTACATATGTGGGAGGGAGTCTTCAAAGAGAGACTCCCTCAGCATGGCCCAAGAAAGCCGTACTTCTCACGGTCTGCAAGCAAGGCTTTGGCACTCGCTGGCTCAAACCCCACCAGTACTGCCTAGTCCCTCAGAGACAATAAATGCCCAAGGAGGTAAAAACATCTGCATGATGTTGTCTTGAATTTTCCTTAACTTGAACACGAGGAATAAAATGACCTCTCATGTCGAGAGGAATGGCTAAAAATAACCCAAACCCAACCAAAAAACAATCCCAAAAAACTTGTGGGATCACTGTACTTCCCTTTCATATAGCCTGTCCAGTTGTATGAATTAATCAATTTATACTAAGGATTATTYGTTGTCTTTAACCTCGTACAGATTATTTCTTTCCAACAAGTCCTTGTAGACTCTTGTAATGGCGCATTGGTAGAGTTATACAAGCACAGACAATTTATGCTTACAAAAAAGCCTTCTGCAGGCATAGTTTTACAATATTTCCATGAGAAAATTGTTGTCCAAGAGAAAAAAACAGGTCTAACTTCATACATTCTAGAGCTTTTGCTAGCATAGCAATGATGACAAAACTATAATAAATCCCTCTCTGGCACAGCTATGCCAGCAAGACTAAAGCCTTCATCTCAATTAGGTTGAACTACTTCCTATTTCAGCAACATTTATATTACAAGCTTTTTCCCTCTCAGCACAATGCATCCTCTCCAGTCACCTGGCTTTGCTTTGCTTCCTGCCCATAATCTGGTAACCACAGATCTCCTAGACAACATTTACAGCATCAAGTATGCAACTGCATGCTCACTTAGCGTCATTTAAAAGGAGTTTATTTTTGATTGTTTAAAAAAATATCCCTCCATCACGCAGGCAGACAGTCTGCAATTTCAGATGTACCCCCAGCTTACAGCCAACTGTGACCCACTTCTTGGTATTGTGCTGGTAAATCTGTACCACACAGTTGAAATGTATGTTTGCTTTAGTTGTGTCTCCATCCTGTTTTAAAATGCACGACGCAAATCAAAGGCATCTAGTTTCCTCAGTATTTCCATTTTGAAYATATCGGGAGGTAAACAAAGCAGCCAGCCCTTAACTGATTCTTTTTTCTGTAATTAAGTRGGAGTTTCTTACCATGCCCAATGAAATCCAGAATGCTTCAGTGCAGATGCCTGAAAAAGAGAGAATAGTGTTTAAAAGACAGTCTTTTGCTCAATGAAACTCTAACTCCAAAAAAAAAAAAAACTATTGCCATCATAATTCTATAGGTTGAGTTAAATAAATAAATACTTATCTGATTAATTGTTGCCTGGAATCCATTTGTGCTTGTATCTCTTGAGTTAGAGGCCATATTAAAAAAAGTGCCCAGGAGATTTGAAATCTGAGGACAACCTAAAGCTTGATTCTAAGAAGGCTCAATGCACCAGTACTTTCCCATGGCGTGGGTGAGACAGGTTTAGTCATCAGGTGTGACAGAGAGCAGTCTGTTGCAATCCAACATTACATGGAGAGCTGACTAGAAAGCAACGYATTTAGCACAGACACTGCACACATTACAATACCCTCAAAGAAAAGAAAATCAGGTGTTTCAGTACACAGGTTTTATTCAGGTCAGCTGCTTTTCAGTCTCTCTGAAAAGCTACAGCAAGTGCCTGGGTGGAAAGATGTTCACGATTTGGAGATTATTGCCAGACATCGACATCACTGTTATTCACATGTAGGTGACACACTACTGCGCCATGTATACAGCTATTTAGACAAAAAGACCCTTCAAATTATTAAAATATCTTTGCAAATTAAGACTTCACCCTGTGCCTGGTTTTGTCCATCTCAGACTTCTCTTTTTTAAAAACCTTCTGCCTTACTCTTCTGCAAGGACACTCACTGAAATCCTTCCACAAAGTCTCAAATTGATTTTTAAGGGCAGGAGCTTGTTTGTCATGTATTTGAACAATACCCTGGCACAAGGTGGGTGTAATTACACAGAAAGAGACAGATGGAATCGGCTCAGACACTGAGGAAGTCAAGCATCCTATCACACTCACGACTTTCACTTTTTCCTCCTCAGGCAAGTGCAAACAGCTTCAGCCCCTACCCCAGTCCCAGCCTCCCAATTTCTGGGTCTCCCCAGCTCCCAGCAATCTCTGCTGAGGTGACCCCTGAACCAGAACTGCATTTTTGTGTACAATAGCCTTTGAGAGAGTTTTCTTTAWGGGGTATGTGTGAACACCTCTGTCAGCATGGGAACTCCTGGCATCTGTAATATCCCAGGGCAATTCCACAGCTACAGGAAGTGCTTTTTGCTAGCTTTAAAACTTTAAAACTCATTCTCTTGAGGCTGCTTGGCTCCCATGGCACAGGAGAGTGAATGGCCATTTTCTACTTGCTTTCTCCATGCCACTTGAGAGTTCATAGACCTTTGTTCCTTCCTGCTTAGATAGATGCCCAAGTGTTGTTTTCCATGTGGGAGTCATTCCACATTTTTATYAATATTTCCTGTATCCTCTCTCTTTCTTCTGCATCCTTTCTAAAATGAGGGAGCAAGGATGCAATATTCAAGCATGCCATGCATTTATGCTGTAGCATAAAGGCCTTTCTTTTTGTTCACAATTTCTTTACCAATGAGTCCCAGTATTCAGATCTATTTTTTTTTTTCTTTTTCTCATTCCTACCGCACATTCAATAGACATTTTTATACAATTATTATAAACCAAGGTTTCTTTCCAAATGAAAATTTAGATTATCACTGTGTATTTCATCACTGAGTATTTCAATTGAGAATTATCTTCCTCTGCACTATTCTATATTCATCAACATTGAATTTCAACTGCTAGGTTGTCCTTTGGTCACTTTGTATGGTGAGGCTGTTCTGCAGCCCCAAAGTACATCCTTCCCTTAGCTATCCTGTCTGATCTACTATGATCAGGAGGCTTTTTTGCCTCATTCTCCACTTCTTTCAGGACTATGCTGAACAGCACCAGACTCAATAGATTTACCTCATTGCTCTTTCCATTCCTTCTCTAGATGTTGGCCAGTTTTCCGCTCATCTTTATTTTCTAAACTGAAATTGTTGTTAAGCCACTTAAGGACTTTGTTATTTACCCCATGGCAGTTTGATTTCATTGAGTTTTTGAAGAGRTATAAATAACAAAAGCAAACAAACAAAACTTAGAGAATTTGTTTATGTGATTATAACAGAAGCACAAACATCTTGAAGCTCAAAAATCTTCTGTCCAAAATCTRATGTCCATCCCTTCTTTAAATTAACCCTTATCCTTCACACACCAAGCTTTTAKCTTCTTCTTGAAGTGACAGCATACATTATCTACACCCTGGAACAAATCCTCCCCAGCCACAGGAGTCCCCCCATCTGTGGAGAATGTGTCACTCGCCTTTGAGGAGAGCTTTTCTCACTGTGTGCTCTTGAATCACGCTGAACTGCTAACAGGAGGGCCAGTTCCAGACCCAGTTATGGGCTGCMAGTGCCCCATTCCTTCCTGGACCAGTAAGCCAAGGTATGCAGTAGGAGACACCAGCTCTGGAGATTTTTTTTTTTWATGTCTAAACAGAGTTTTTTTTCCTGTTCTTTCACTTTTTAGATAATCCGTAGCTCTTCTCTCCCATTCTCAGCCTTGCACACATGCATAGGTTGAACAACGGTGCGCATTCCATGTTCATGCAAACCCTCTGGTGTTGAATGTCATTCAAACAACTCAATGCCACATATGGTTTCCCAGTGTTCAAGAGCAGTTCAGAAATCCCAATTTAGACTCTGAGGCCCACCAAACAAAAAGGAATGTGATACATATGTTCCCAGTTCTAGCTCAGCAAATGTAGGCTAGAAGAAGAGAAAAACATCAACCCTGGTAACCTGTACATTACAGTAGATGAATAAGTATAATTTTCTAAATAAAAATAATTGGCTCAAATATAATGCCAATAACCCTTCAGGGACTTGAGCTGGTGAGTGCCATTGAGATTAATAAAGGAGGCAATTCTTACTGTGTGCATACACTTTAAGRACAAAAACACAGTATGAGAATTTAATTCCAATAATTTGTATAAAGCTGACTGCCCTTGAATCAGCAAGCAAAGCACAAGGGGTATGGTGAAGTACAAARCTGAAAGAACTGCAACTTTCAGACAGCAATCCAACCTCAGCTAAGCACAAGGATTACTAGGACAACACACCGGGTGAATGCTGTGCTACAATATGCAGCTTCTTTAGGAGCAGGACCTCTACACAGCAAGTACAGGCCCATGGCACACAGCAGCTCTGATGTGGCTGGTAGTCCTCAGAGATCAGTGCTGTGGACTGAAAGGTGTCTGTCCTGCATAGCCCATTAATGGCACCAGAAGCAGTAAATAATTGCTCCTAAGYAATGAGGAGTCAAAGAAAAAAAAARTTGAAGAGAATAGATGCTGGTATTATTCTGATTCTGCTTTCTCCAGCAGAGCTCTGCCTATTGTGTTCATTGCAACCTTAAAACAAAGAAGCAGCAGGTACTTTCTCTTCAGAGACTGCTCCAGAGACTGGTCAACACTGYAATTAAAGGATGCACTTATTCATTGCACAGACCCTCTAGATTTCCCCAAGGTAATCAGTGGAAACCCCAGCCTACCCTTTTTCAAGGACATAAACACAGGGAACAGAGCAGTCAGCCCCCACCAGCCAGGCCAGGATGCACCTAYTGCAGCACACGTTGCTTCCCTGAGACCCAGTGCAGAAGGGAGCAGGGAGTGCATTCAGCCCAGCTCATTCACCATTTAAAAATTAATGGCAAATGCAGCCTCTCCAACTGCAGGTAAGTCACCCCAGAGACCTCTGAAAACTAATGTCAGCCCTCCAACTCCTGCTCCTATTCCAGCACTAATCTTCAGGTTCATCCGCACACCGGTAAATGCTGAAAGCAGCCTGGGAGCTCTACCAAAGGACTGATTTTCACTCGGCTCACATAGGCAGAAAGGTAAATGCAACATGCCGATACACACATTCTGCTATCAAAGAATGACTTAGAACTATCACATTTTTAATATCACATACTTATTTACTGGCGCCTGCCCTAGTAGGCATATGTAACCCAATACTGTATTTTACTGATATTGCAGAYGGTATAACCAATCTCCTAAACTCTCAACACTCTCAATGGATTAGTATGATGTGTGGAGCAGTTTTAGCTTACAAAGCACTACTTTAGTGTGTAGGGTTATTGATTTAACTTAGAAATTCTGCTTTGTCGTGTATTTTTACTGATTTACCTTTACAGTAGTGTAGGAATATCTTTTCTCCCCAAAAAAAACTTCGACACACTTCCTTATCCAATACAAAATATTGCTCCTAGTAGGATTTCAGGACAGGCACTCAGTAATCAATATTAGGGACTTTTTAAAAACTTTTCTGTGTGGCAGGGCTCTTCCCACATTACTCATGTCTTCTTTTCTACATAAACCTGCATAACCCCTAAGCTTTTCAGAAATTTCTCAAAGAAACATATATCAGTGTACCCTCTCCCCTCTTCCAGCCTCAAGCCAGGCAGATATTGATACATAGGGAAAGGTTTTTCCCCCCATCTAGAATACTTCCCAAAYGTACTGATATATTTTCCTGCTTCTCAGCCATAGTAGTCACTCAATCCTCTCGTCTCCTCTCCTTCTGAATGCTGAAGGAATTTCCCATGTACCAGCCCCRGTCCCAGCACATACAGAAAGCTGCAGCTGGATAGTGCATACAAATGCCAGCAATAAGATAATCCTGTGGCATTGCTAAAAGCTTATTTTGCAAGCCCATTTTAAAAACAAGACCAAACTCAAGAGCCACTCAGGAATGCCAGTGGCATTCTCCTCCAGCTTTTCTTCATGATCAGCTGTCTCTGCATCCATGCAACTCCAACTCCTCCCTTCTGCCCTGCACCGCACCTCCTTCATCACTCTTTATGGAAGTATATTTTCTTCTGTTAACTATTCTGTAAGTTTAAATCCTCCTTTATTCTGCTATGTTAATCAATAACAGCCTCCACCACCCTTATATTTCATTCCTCTACTAATAAATGTGATATTGAAAGTGCTTCAATTTCACCTTATGATGACTTTACATGGCACAAACCACCACCAAAAAAGAAGCCTGGTCTAGCTCTGTAGCTGTACTTTCCACCCTTTTTCTTTGCAGATGTAGAATTACATCAATAGTTAAATATGACAAAAGGCTCACCTAGTCTGTGTCTTGAAGTACCCAACTCAGCATATTTTTGTATATTTAATGAATTATAGTGTTTGACTGTATTCTTCAAAATCCTACATTTTAGCCCATGGCCAGTAGCCAGTGGCATGGCACGTGACTTCAGTAAGGGCTTAGACTTAGAAATAGTTCCTGCACATCTGTTGATTCACATCAACTAATCACATGTTTATGTTTTTTTTTCTCTGGCTTATGGCAAAGGCAGGATAACTCGCATTACCTTTAAAAAAGTCTTGTCTCATGAAAAGAATGCCATACAGATCTATCCCTCTTCAAAACCCCAGGGAAATTGCCACAGAAAAGATTTATGCATTAAAGCATCACTTTAGTCTCAGATACTTTACCTTGGTTCACAGTGTTTCCACACCTTCACCTGTTTTTAGACAATCTTATCGTAATATCTGGATGCTACCAAATTCTCACTACATTAAAAAATATATTTAAATTGCTATCTAAACTTCTGCTACAGTAAATAAAGCCTTGTGATTTCAAAAGGCACATAGATCATAGATAAATGGGTCTAGCAACCAAAACCTTCTCTCTCACACAATGATAAATTGTGCCATTCCAGCAGCTATTTAGACCTCACTGCCTGAACTCATGCTGACCTGAAACATACCCATTCCTTCATTACCCCAAGCTCTGTGTCATGTGCAGCATCAAACAACTTATCTTCTTCCTGCTTACAACACCTCCAGCAATAGCTCTCTTTCAAAGTTAAAAAAAAAAAAAGGCAAAAAGCAAACAATTTAAAAAAAACTAATATTTATAAAAAAAAAACAAAACAGAACAGCACACCCGACTCTGTTCTGCATATATTCACAGCACGATTGCCTGCAGTGGCCTCAGCCAGCTGGGCTCTGTGACCCTCAGACTGATCCCTTGAGTGTGTTCCCATTTTATCCAGCAATGAAAACTCCAGCCCCAAAGCCAGCAAGAAGTTTGTCACTGACTTCAGCTGAGGACAGGAACCGGCTCAATCATAAGAAACCTTGAGTTAAATAAAGCAGCAAGAAAAGGCACAGGAGGGAGGTGGGGAGGTGTCAGCTCAGAATGCTGTGGGGCACAGCTCTGCTTGTTACCAAGTTACTTGATACTTCCCTACGTAAGGTTTCATTTTCAATCGCCAATAAATCTGCAAAAGTTTGACCCCCTTGAGTGGGAAACTGGGGTGGAAATGCATTAAATATGTGCTGCAGCCTGATTTGGAGGGGAGAAAAACGTTTCCAGACATAATACAGTAGGCAGTTTTGAGAAAGAGTTCTCAGGGAAAGATGTGGAGGGTGAAAGCTCTTTTTCAATAAAGACTCGCCACTATGTCCCTGCTTTGGGTCTGACAATAAGTACATTGCTTCAAAAATTTGCTGTTTGCGTCAGGCATGTGTCTAAACAAAAACCTACCTGAATTTGAACAAGGTGTAAGTCCGCAAACAGAATGGAAAAGAAAAGCACCAGCTCAAAAACAGTCAATAAACATATATTCAATTTTTAGCTGGTTTAGCCAATAAGCTGCTTAGGCAATTTCAACCATTCCCTCAAGGCTCCCAAGCCAGTAGTTTGCTCCAGGCTGGGGCTAAGCAGGACTTTCTTTGAAAGTGCAATTCCARTGTGCTGAATGCCATTCTATATAAAAGCATGGATAGCCTCTTCCCTATCAACATTTCCCCAGCCAACACCGCATTTGCTCCAGGGAACATGAAAGAGAAAGTTTTCAGAATCAAACACAGCAGGAACAAAAGTGCCAGTCTTGCAACATTCAGGGAGAAATAGTGAGGGACAAAGAATGTAGGTAGGGAAATCTCTCTCCCAAAACCCCTGGCCTGGAGAGGCTGAAATTAGAATAGATGAGAATGGGAACTGAAATGGAAACTGAAATCATTCACAAGTCTGGCACTGAAATCTGGCAAAAAAAAAAAAAAAAAAAAAAAAACATGGCAAGGAGGTGTGGCAACATGAGCATGAGTCTGAGCTCTGATGATCTTGGGTGCAGAAGAAATGCTGAGACTATGTCCAAGGAGTACCAACTGGCTGAATTGCCTTTGAAAAGGCAAAAGCCTGAGGTTCAGTGCGAACAAACACTGGCAGAAAATACCAAATTCAAACAATGGCAGAAAATACCAAAGTCCAAGTAGAGACAGATCAGAAGATCCTTATCAGGGTAATTTTTGTGGCTGACCTAAAAATTGAGTTTTCTGTCAAACATTTGTGAAGTGAATCATAAAAGGGTTTGGTTCTGCTTCATGCCAGCTTGTGGCAAAGCTGCTTGGTGGCCACCAGTTATTCCATTAGTGGCCCTGCTTGACGTGAACAGGAAGAGATCTGATCTGTCCAACAACTCACAGA